TTATTATTATAATCAAAAAGAAGCGCTAAGCCACAAGGGCTATACAGCTGGCCTGGTCACAGACCGGGCCACGGGGGCGTTGACCCCCGGAACTCTCTCCAGGTAAACTCCAGGTAATTGAACACTTGTTGGGGTTGGAATTTTTCAGCTTTGCCATGCCTTATCACGATATGCATGCCACTACGATTCTTAAATCTCTCAAGCCAACCTTTGTTGGCCTTAAATTCATCAATATGAGTACTAGTTCCAGGCATTTTTTTCCTGTTCACCTGGGTGTTAGTTGGCTGGTGTGGGTCGCATCCTGGGGGACAAGATTAAGGACCCCAGTGGAAATAAGTTAGACAGTCCTTGATGACGCACTGACTTTCTTGGGTTATCCTGGGTGGCTAACCCTCTGGGGTTAATGGTTTCTCAGTAATTGTTTCTCATTAAGCCACACCAACAACACTTTATCCACATCTTCGAGTAGTACAGCTGATGGTGGTGGAGCAACAGCTGACGGTGGCGCAGCAGCAGCTGATGGTGGTGCAGCAACAGCTGACTCTGGTGCAGCAGCAGCTGACCATGGTACAGCAGCAGCTGACTGTGGTATAGCAGCAGCTGATGGTGGTGCAGGAACAGTTGACTGTGCTACAGCAGCAGCTGATGGTGGTGCAGCAGCTGATGGTGGTGCAGCAGCAGCTGACCGTGGCATGATAGTATTTCGATAGCATTTCTCACCCTTTTTAAAACAGGGTTGGCACTAGAAGCTTTCTTTGGGCCCATGGTGGCTTATTTAGCAGTTACAAGCACTAAAAACAATGGAATACAAAATTTATCTAATGTATGCGTGGAACCGTCCACCCTATCTTGTAAATGATGATGACAGGGCAGCCGAGGCACTCAGGCTGGACAGACAGGTTCGGGACGAATCATGTCGGCCGAGTTTTTCATCGTTGGCCGAGCAAAATTTTTACACTAAAACGCTTCGTTAGTCGATTTTATCGTTAGACAATGCCTTTGTTGGTTGAGGGTCCACTGTAACAAAGAAGCTGCAGGCAGTATGATAGAGGTAGAAGATGGAGGGTGAGTAAAGATAAGAACATAAGGAAGGAGGCACACTGCAACAAGCCTACTGGCCCATATTGGGCAGGGCTTTGTCAAATCCAACCCAATAACAAAAATATTTGCCCAAATCATTTTCAATGCTACCCAAGCAATAAACTTTGATAACATTATTGGTACGAATTTGCAATTTTTGTTTTAGAAATTAGGATATTAGTTTCCATGGCATAATTTGTGAATGTTTCTTTCAACTCCCTTGAAATCTTCAATATGTGTATGTAATAATAATAATAATTTTTATTTTGACATGATACATAGTTGTACAAAAGAGTATATGCCAAAAGCCCCTTTGTATTTATTTATTTATTAATTTGAACATGATACACTGAAGTACAAGGAAATACAGTGGTTAAGTGTAGCATGTCAAAGCCCCTTGTATGCAGAGCATTATGGGCAGGCTTAAAATTAACTTAGATTAACTAAGCAATGATATATTCAGTGGTAAACATTGTTGTAAACAGTTAACAATTAAGCAAAAATGAGTATTTCAAAGACAGGTCATATGGTCATTTACTGTGTTGCTGTGCATTCTGTATTATTATAATTATAATAATCAAGGGGGAAGCGCTAAACCCGGAGGATTATACAGCGCCTGGGGGGGGGGGATGTGGAAGGCATTCAGGCTTAATTCGGGGAACTGGAGCACAGATCCAATTCCCTAAATCAAGAGCCCCTCACCAACATCAAGGAACCTTCCTTGAGGGGTGTGCATTCTGTAGAATGGAGTATTCTGTTAGTATTTATTTGGTTGTGGGTGAGTAAGTGATTTTTAAGAAGAGACTTGAATTTATAAACAGTGTTTCTTTTATATTCACAGGTAGTGAATTCCAGATTTTTGGGTCTTTTATGTGCATTGAGTTTTTGCATAGTGTGAGATGGACACGAGGAATATCAGAGTGATCTGTGCCTTTTGTTATGGTCATGTGTTCTGTTGAGGTTGGTAAGGAGACGTTTGAGGGGAGGGTTTATATCCGAGTTAAGTGTTCTATGTATGTAGTAGGTACAATAATAGGTATGGATGTTTTGTATGGTGAGTAGGTTTAGAGTTTTGAATATTGGTGGAGTGTGCTGCCTGTAGTGGGAATTTGTTATCATTCTGACTGCAGCCTTTTGTTGGGTAATTAATGGTCTGAGATGGTTTATTGTTGTTGAGCCCCATGCACAAATTCCATAGGTGAGATAGGAGTAAATGAGTGAGTGATATAGGGCCAGGAGGGCTGACTGTGGAACATAGTACCGTATCTTCGATAGTATGCCTACGGTCTTTGAAATTTTCTTGGAAATTTGTTGTACATGTGTTTGAAATTTGAGTCTATTGTCAAGGTGGATTCCTAAGAATTTTCCCTCTGTGAGCTTTGTCATAGGTTATCAGTTTATCATTATGTTAAGAGGGATGTCTGTAGCTCTGTTACCAAACTGAATGAAGTAGGTTTTGTCAATGTTGAGATTAAGTTTGTTAGTCCTCATCCAGGTAGATATTTTCTGTAATTCAGTATTCACAGTATTGGCTAGCATGACTGGGCTCGGGTGAGACAAGATGTATGTAGTGTCATCTGCAAATAGTGTGGGTTTGAGTAGTTGCGATGCATTTGGTAGGTCATTTATGTAAATAAGAAAGAGAAGAGGGCCAAGGACACTTCCCTGTGGGACACCAACTGTAATTGGCTGTGCGGAAGAGTTTGCTCCATTTGTGTATGCGTATTGGCTTCTGTTGCTGAGGTATGACTTTAGGTAGTCGAGGGAGTGCCCTCTTATACCATAGTGCAACAATTTTATGCGGAGCAAGTCATGGTCAACTGTATCAAAAGCTTTATGTAAATCAATGAAGATTCCCCGTGGGACTTCTTTTTTTCTCTAGTGCAGTGTATATTTGTTCTAGCATGTGTATAATAGCATCATTTGTATTTTTATTAGGCCTTTACCCAAACTGACAGGGGTTGAGTATGTTGTGGGAGATGAGATAGGAATAGATTCGCTTATGAATTAATTTTTTGAAGATTTCAGAGAGAGGGTGTAAGTTGGATATTGGCCTATAGTTATTCAAGTCTGTTTGGTCTCCTCCTTTATGGATCGGGGTGATCCTCGCTATTTTGAGAACTGTAGGGAAGGTAGAGGATTTGATGGATTTGTTAAAGTGTGTTGCAATGATTGGTGACAGCACTTGCGACACTTTTTTGTATATAAAGGGTGGTAAGGTATTTAAATCTCCTGTCTTGTTTTTTAGTGTGTTGATAATAAGGGAGACTTCTGTTGGGTTAGTCGGAGCTAGGAACAGTGTGTTCGGGTAGTTGCCAGTGAGGTAGTCATTGAGTGGGGTATTTGAGCTTGGGATTTTATTGGCAAGGTTTTTTCCTATGGTGGAGAAGAAATCAATGAGTCTGTTTGCTGTTTCAGCTGGTGGGAGTTGCGGTTCATCTGGCTTTGTTAGTTCAATTGCGCCGTTTCGTGATATCTTTTTTGTTCCTAGAATTTCTGATAGGGTTTTCCAGGTCTTTTTTATATCACAGTTTAGGCTGGATAATCTGTTCTCATAATACAATTTTTTTGCCCTTCTTATCAAGCTGGTTAGGATTGATGAGTAACGTTTTGTTTGGTCTCTGGTTATGCGACCCATTCTCTACTGTTTTTCGTAAAGGTGCTTTGTGTTTATAGATTTGAGGATGCTGGGTGTTAGCCAGGAACTGTTCAGTTTCTTAGCTGTCATCTGTTTAGTTTTTTTTAGGACAGTGCTTGTTATAGAGGTATTGGGTCTGTTTTAGAAAATTATTAATACTTTTGTCCATATCTGTATAGATTTCTAGCTCAGTGTGCCAGTCAATGTTTGTCAATGCTGTTGTGAAGTTATTAATGGCTGCCTCATTGTGAAGTCTGAAAGTGACTTTAGTAGTCTTGGGAAAATTTGCCTAGATTAGTTATGAGGAAGGTAGGGTAGTGGTCTGTGGTATTATCTGTGATTATGCCTGATTTTAGAGGGGATATGGTGTTGGTCCAGATATGGTCTAGTAGGGAAACACTAGTCTCTGTAATTCTTGTAGGTTTCGTTACTGTTGGTAGCAACAAGCAGTTACTCATAGTGTTTGTGAATTCAGTAACGTGTGGGTCCTGGTCTTGCAGGAGATTTATATTGAAGTCACCTGAGAGTAGTAAGTGATCTTCATGCGTGCATCAGTTAACATACTTCCTAGGTTTTCACTAAAACGAGAGGTTTTTGTAGGTATTTGGATTTGAATTTAGCTATTATATATTCCCCATGTTCATCCCTTGTGCAAGTATTAGTGATACATTCTAGTTGGTCTGAGTAGTATGCAGAGCATTGCAGAGAAACTTAATGTTAACTTAAGATTAGGAAGGCAATAACAGATTATTATTTGGGTAATGGATATCTGAGTACAGTAACTGCAGTTTTAAATTTAGCTTACAAAACTTACATAATTAAAAATAGTGGTACAGTTTGAGTTAATTTATAATATGGTAATATCTCAATGGAGCAGTTTAAAAACAATTTACAATAATAGGCAATAATGGATAATTATATGGACATTATTACAAATAATGGTACAAGTGGAATTAATTTACAATATGGGTGTATTACAATGGGACAATTTAAAAAACAAATTTACAATATGAGATTATTACAGTTTAGTGTAATTTAGAATAATTAAATGGAATTAATAATTATTACATTTTAGTTATATTTAATGTAAAGAATTTAAGCATCTAATTTAGAAATACGTAACGAGTTTATGGTTGAGTAATTGTTAGCACAATATATATTAGTGGAGGTAAGTTAAGTTTGAGTTGAGGAGACATATTATTTAGAAGTTTTTTATATAGCCCTTTGAGTAACTGGTCAGTAATGAGTATGGATATTCTGGTTAATTTTGGGTGAGTATGTGATTTCTAATTTGAGCCTTGATTTTTTTTTTTTTTTTTTTTTTACACAGGGTTTGACAAGGTTAAGGATCCCTAGCTTTATTGCCAAGCTAAGAGCTGTTACCTACATCAGCTCATTTGAAAGCATTTTTATTGTTATGAGACATACAAGTAGGGAAAAGGATGAAGTTGGAGCCATCTGTGGGTCAGCATTTTCATTTGATCAACTGACTTTATCTCATTGACATCATTATGCTGTACAAATGTGTTCCATACTCGAGTCATCCTGGGTATATAGGATCTCAGATGGAGTGAAGTTCTGGAGAAGGGTACAGCCAGAGTGAAGTTGCTGCTTTCTGCAGGCAGGGTTCCTTTAGTGTTCTCTGGCAATGAATTCCCTTTATGTGCACTGCATTTTTGTATAGGGAGAGATGGACTTGAGGGATATCGAAGAGTGACTTGTGTCTTAAATTATGGTTGTGTTCTGTTATGGTTTTCAAGGAGGATTTCGAGAGAAGGGTTTATATTTGAGTGCAGTGTTCTATGTAGGTAGCAGGCGCAATAATAAGTGTGGATGTCTTATATGTTAAGCAAGTTGAGACTCATGAATAGTGGTGGAGTATGCTGTCTAGTGCTATAGTTAGAAATCAACTGGACTACAGTTTTTTGTTGGGTTATTAACCTTTAAACTGTCCAAACATAGAGCTACATTCACGTGCGTAGCGCTCCGACCTTGATTTTCTCCATTTGAAAGCATGTAAAAAACACAGATCAACGTTCGGAGCCTGCCGCACATCAATGTAGATCTATGTTTGGACAGTTTAAGGGTTAAAGGTTTGAGGTGATTTGCTGTGGTAGAGCCCCATGCATAAATTCCATAGGTGAGGTAAGGATAAATAAGTGAGTGATACAGAGAAAGGAGAGCTGACTGTGGTACATAGTACCATATCTTTGAAAGGATGCCTACTGTTTTCGAGACTTTCTTGGAAATTTGTTGTGTGTGTGTCTGGAATTTGAGACCACTGTCAAGGTGGAGACCTAGAAATTTGCCCTCTGTGAGTTTAGAGATGGGCGAGCCATTTATCATTATGTTTAGCTGTACATTTGAAGATCTGTTTCCAAATTGCATTAGAAACTTATCTCACACTGTCCCATCCCTTACATGTGCACTGAGGAAGAGGGGGCCAGGTTGAGACGGATAGGAAGATACCTTTCATGGATTGCACAGAGACAAACACATGTAAGTTTTTCGTACAGTACTGTATATGATTTATCTGCTTTTCAGGTAGAGTTGTTGATCAAGTCCCTCCAAAATTTAATTTACTTTACATAATTTTCAAACTTATGAATGGATAAGACACAAGATGACACCTAAACTAACTTAACCCCTTGACTGTCGCAACCCCTAATCCTGAAGTGTCTCCTGGTGTCGCAAAATTTAAAAAAAAAAAAATTATTTTTTTCTTATGAAATGATAGAGAATCTTTTCCCGATTGTAATGACACCAAAAACACAAAATTTGATGGAAAACTGACGGAATTACGCTCTCGCAAAGTTTGCGACCTCGGCAATATTTACAAATCGGCGATTTCGCCCACTTTGACCCCTATTTTTGGCTAATTCCACTGTGCCAGTCGCCCAAACTCATAGCTATTTCTTTAGAACTCCATTTTTTCTATCGATTGAGTACAAGAAACTGCCCATTTACCGATTTCAACTACCCAATAACGTGGTCAGAAATTTGCAATTTGGCCAATTTCACAAAAATTAAAAAATATGACAATTTCAAAATACGGTCCAGAATGAACAATGCAGACATTCCTGGCTCTAAAATAACATTTTCTTTGTTCATCAGTCACGTCTCCAAGCCCCTCTGATATTACTCTTGCTTTCTATTTTGAATTTTTATTCAAACAAAAAATAGAAAATTTACTGTTATGCAGACTACTGCAATACTGTAATAATTGTATAAATAACATCAACCCATTCACGACTGCATATTAGAATGGCTAGTTCAACATTTATTGGATAATTACATCATTTGTTTACTTTTGAACATCGGCAAAAATCAAACATTTCCCCTACTTTGAGCTCCATTTCCAGGTTCTTTTTATAGTAAAATCAATCAAAATCACCTCTATTTCTATAATATGTTTTCCATTCTATCAAATGAGACCAAGAAAACGAGAATACAACCATAAATACTATACGAAAATAGACCACAAAGTCGGCATTTTAATTAAAAAAAAAAAAGGTCGGTGTTTTTTTTTTCTCATTATGCACTGCATGCTCCAGGATTTTTTTTATATGGTGCACACTGACCACACAGACCCATTCTCTCACATGTGGGCCTACCAACTTTCTCCTGCTTGATTTGAAGCCGCTAGAATTTATGAGAATACATACGTCTAACACGGTACCTCGTAAGACGTATATATACGACGTCGACAGTCAAAGGGTTAATGTAAACTTATTTTACAAAAAAAAAAAAATACAACTTAATCTTACCTACCCTTAGGTAAACTTAGCTTAATCTTACTTAACCCTTCCAAGTTCTGTACAAGTTCTGTCTACAAAGATTTATGTCTGCATACAAGACATAAAATCTAACTAATATTGAAATACAATAGTATCCTTTTTTTTACCAGTTCACCCTTGCTCACTGTAAAATGTATAGTTTTCTCTGAAAAAAAAAAAAAAAAAAAAAAAAAAAAATTCTGAGATTAATGAATGCTGCTCCTGAGCAAGCACTAAATTATATTTAAAGAAAAGTCATGAGTCAGAGAGGGCTTGAGGAATAGGAAGCAATCAGGTTTGATATGTAGAAGATTGTGTCTTCAACTCCTAAGATGAAGAACCCTTCAGAAGCATCAAGCCTCCCAAGGAAAAACATGCCTAACAACAGATGATATATACAACCTACAACATAATTAATGACCTAACAATAATACTTGGAAAGTAGACTATGCAGACCTTTCAAGAAACCTGCCAGGCAACAAAATGAATCTCAACCTTAGATATTTTATCAGTTTGTAATGTATAATTTTGATTAGTATGGTATACAGTCTTCATTATAAAATAAGTAATTCTTGGAAAATAATGAAATGCTATTAAAATTTACTAAAAAATATAATAACCTGCTTATGTCTTAACATGTCTGAAGTTTATCTGGAGCACATATAAATTATTCTAATATTCAGGTCACGTTAAAAAAATGCAGACACAATATCTTTGTCAGACACACAGATCTCTGTAAAAATATCCTCATTATTAAGAAGCTGAGCAATATCAGCATGATCAAGAGCATATTCCTCAATTTGATGTTCATCATCTCTGGAGACATGCTCTTCTGTTGATACTTCATTAACAGAATTCATACAAGGAGCTTCAATATCTTCCTCGTGCTTTTCAATTTTCATGATTTCCGTATCTGCCACAAAGAATTCACATCCACCATCCTCAGGTTCACATTTCATCCCTGCTATAGTTGTGCACCAATCCAACTCGTCTTTTAATATTTCCTCCTTTACTTTGACTTCTTCCTTGTTAGGAAACCCAAGAAATAATGAACAGGAACTAGGTAAAATTTTGCTTTGTATATGTGTTTCTTGTTTTGTAGAGTATTTTTGAGTCTTTAATTTTTCAGATGAAATTATAGTATTCTTTGAACCTGATTTACCAGAATCTAATTCTATTTTTTTTACATCCATCCCAATAAAATTTAAACTTTCATTAAGCAATTCAGAATCAAGGTTTATGAAAGGATTTATTGAAAATACATCATCATAATCTTCATTGTAAGACACTTTTTTATACCTTGTCCTTAGATTTCTTTTTGCAACACATTTGTCAATGTATTCCTGTTTTCTCTCAAGCTTACCACTTGGTTTGCAATTATCATTGCTTTTGTGAGAGGTATCACTAGGTTTCTTACTGGCACTTTTCTTCAGAGAGACATCACAGTAATTTTTATCAATAGAGATGATCTTTTGATAAACATCACTACCTTTATCTGATGACTGTTCATGGTCTTTATTACTTAGCTTTTTTCTATGTACCTTTGCATAATGTGTGTTTAGTTCATTTCTTGCATCAAATATTGTATTACAATATCTGCAGAAAAATTTGCCACTGTTAGTATGCAATCTTAAATGTGTCCTGAGAGAACTGAGGTCTCTAAATTTGCTAGAACAATGTGGACAGTGATGAGGTTTCTCTCCTGTGTGACACCGCATGTGTGTTCTTAAAGAGTCTGGGTGAAACAAACATTTACATATTTGACATGCAACTTTTTTCTTAAGGTAAATGTTTTTCTCAATCATATAATCCTCATCAATATATTTTTCTCCATGAAGACTGAAAATGTGTTTTTTAAGTGAGGTTTTTCGAGTGAAGTATTTGTTACAAAGTTCACAAATAAATTCTTTAACTCCCTGGTGGCTTTTTATATGGCGTTTTAAGTCCCCAAGAGCATAAAATCCTTTTTCACAAACTCCACATGTCAAAGATGTTTGCTTAGCATGTCTCTGTCGGTGTCGATGCAGTGTGCCAATATTTGCAAAACATACACCACAAAAATGACACTTGTATGGCTTTCTGCCTGTATGAATATTTGAATGAGATAAAATTGTGTATTTTTGCGTGGTTTCAAATGGGCATATTTTACAAAAAAAAGACTTCTCAGGCTTCTTAGTTCCAATACATTTTCTGGTTTTCCCACTACCAGAATATGGGATACTGAATTGTTCTATGCATTTCACATCGAAGGTCTGAAAACAAATTCCCTTACTATCAGGCAAAACACTCGAAGTGTCTCTTATGGTTAAATCTTTCATTTTTGTATTGCCTTACTCCACAGGCATAGTGCAGGATTGTACACTACAGAAGAAAACTGCAATACTGAGTAGTGTAGCATATCTCAGCAATTTTGTGGCAACATTTCTGGTATGATGATACTCTTCCAACTGTTATCTGCAAACAGAAAAATTAGTTTCAGAAATTAATATTTAAATGGAAGGGAACTGTGTGACTGAGTGCATTCATGCATGCATGGGGGAGGGGGAGAAAGGGGAAAGGAGGAAAGAGTATTCACCTATTTGTGGTTGCAGGGGTTGAGTAAGAGCTCCTGGCCCTGCCTCTTCACTGGTCGCTACTAGGTCCATTCTCCCTTCTCCATGAGCTTTATTGTACCTCTTCTCAAAGCTACACTATATGGTTCCAGACTCCACTACATCACTCTCCAGATTGTTCCACTTCCTGACAACTTTATGACTGAAGAAATACTTCCTAACATCCTTGTGACTCATCTGAGTTTAAAGCTTCTAGCTGTGACCCATTATTTTTGTGTCCCATCTCTGAAACATTCTGTCCCTATCCACCCTGTCAATTCCTCCCAGTATTTTATATGCTGTTATGTCCTCCCCTATCCCTCCTGTCCTCTAGTGTCATCAGGCTGAGTTCCCTTAACCTCTCCTTGTAGGACATATCTCTCAGCTCTAGGACTAGGCTTGTTGCAAACCTTTGCACTTTCTCTAATTTCTTGATGTGTTTGACTCAGGTGTGAGTTCCATACTGGTGCTGCATACTGCAATATGACCCTGACATACATGGTGTACAATTGTCGTGAATGACTCATTTATTTATTTAATTTTTTTATTTGGACATGATACATAGTTGTACAAAGAAATATAGTGATTGGGTGTACATGTCAAAAGCCCCTTGTATGCAGAGCATTATGGGCAGGCTTAAAATTAACTTAAGACTAACTAAGCAATGATATATTCAGTGGTAAAAATTACAGTAAACAAATTACAACATGAAGTACAAATGAGTATTTCAAATAAGAAGCATTAAAGTTGTACAAATTTGTAGCATAACAATGTATAATATAATCCGATTAAATCGAATAAAATTAATGATTTGTAGCGCAGAAACAGGCCATATGGGCATTAGATGAGTTACTGTGCATTCAAGAGAATGGAGTATTCTATTAGGTACCGTAATTAAAAAAAGAAAACAGTTTGATAGGGTCACAGGCTATACATTTATGAGATGTCGAAACGCTATTCTCAGGTTTGTCAGGCGCCCATATGCTGCAGCAGTTATTTGGTTGATGTGTACCTCAGAAGATGTGCTTGGTATGATACTCACCCCAAGATCCTCTTCCTTGAGTGAGTTTTGCAGCCTTTGACCCCTTAGGCTGTACTCCATCTGTGGTCTTCTTTGTCCTTCTCAAAGAATGTGAGAGCAAGTGGGTGTGGGTGGGGGTGCATTGTAGGAGTGCACAAGAGATAGGTTTAGGGGAGTGCTAAATTATAATCGAAGTTGGTGTAATAAGTCAGTCTGTTACAAAGTCAAAGAAGGAGTCTGCATCAAAGGTTAGACTTTCAGTGAGGAAGTCAGGTAAAGTAAGTGCATTAGGGTTATGGAGATGCTGGAAATGAATTCTGCATGCCTGCTGGTAGACAGGACAATCTATTAAGAGATGGTGAACTGACAGTGTAACTTGGCAATCCTCACAGAGTGATGAGCAGTTTTCCATAAGATACCTGTGAGTGAGACATGTATCTAATATGTAGTTTGAGAGTGTAGTCTCCTAAAACACAACAGTGATAGTAAGATAGTCAGAAACCAAAACACAGTTCGACAAAATGCAATTTATTGTGGCCCAACTCAGACCATTTTGTTGCCAGTGGTTGGAATTGTCGAGAAATTACTACAAAAATAGTAAGAAAAAAAAAGACCCTTGTAAAAAATTAGTTAAGACACACGTGCAACAGTTATGTATCTTTTTTTTCTAAAACATTTCACCTATACAGTAGGCTTCTTCAGTCTAGTACAGAAGAGGCAGCAGAACAAGAGAGGCCTGCTCTCTCAGTGATTACATTCATGCATCTACTAATGGGATCTACCTCTCCTGTTGTCAAGATTATCTGCACCTCACCTTTGACAGTATACAAGTCTCCATTCTGTTGCTTCAGCTTCACATTGTTCCAGACTATGGAGCAAAACTCTTCTTCAGGCTGAGGGTGACCATCTCAAAACTATGTTTTAGTGAAAAACTAAGACACATAATAACTAGAGCTGAAATGAACAAACACCACCTAATACTTACAGGGGACTTCAACATAAATCTTATCCATGACCATTACCCACAAGTGACTGAATTCACAAACACTATGAACAGCTGCTTACTTCTACCAACAATAACAAAACCTACAAGAATCACTGATACAAATGCCTCATTACTAGACCACATCTAGACAAACATTATATCTCCGTTAAAAGCAGGCATAATCACAGATAACACCACTGACCACTATCCCATCTTTCTCATAACCAACTTGTGAAAGTGCCCCAGGACACAACTAAGATCACATTCCGATTACATGATGAGTCATCTGTTAATACCTTTATTTCAGCATTTAGTGACATTGACTGGCAAAACAAGCTAGCAGACGACTTCGATATTGATGAATGTGTTAATATTTTTTTACAAAAAAAACAAAACTTCTATAACATGCATTGCCCAATAAAAACTAAGCAGATCACAGCAAAGAGACTAAACAGCTCCTGGCTTACAAACAGCATCCTCAAATCTATAAAAAACAGTACAGAATGGGTCTAATAACAAAGGATCTCACAAAACGTTGCTCGTCAATACTAACCAATCTAATAAGGTCAAAAAAATTGTATTATGAAAACAGATTTCATGATATGAAAAAGACCTGGAAAACCTTATCTGAAATTCTAGGAACAAAAAAAGCTGTCACAAAACAGACTGATTAACTTAACCCTTAAACTGTCCAAACATAGATCTACATTTGCACACATAGTGCTCCGAACGTAGGTCAATGTTTTATTTTTCATTCCTTCAAATTTGGCGCGATACGCCCGAGTCTCCTAGACACGAGAGAATGGGTCTGCACCCTAAGTGTGTGCAGAGTGAAAAATTTCGCCGATGCCTGGGTACCACATGGTAGCACCAGTTAGTTTCAGCTCCATCTTGGGTTAATATCATGGCAAACCCCCGTGATTCACTCACGCGTCAGCGTATTAACACTCTGCTATTCTCGGAAAGTGTAACAGACCGTGAGGTTAGTGAATTTGACACCGATATAGCCACTAATGTTCAAGGAATTAGTGAAACTGTTGATAACCCAGATGACCCTCAGCCCATCACCTCTGGGGTGGCCAGTGTGGACAGTGTGGCCATACCAGACCCTCAGCCAAGTACCTCTGGGGTTGCTAGTGTTACTACCTAAAGGCAACTCCACAAGAGGAAATTATCTTTTTCCTTGCGTTATGGTGATGACGACAGTGAAAGTGATATAAGTGATGATGATGAAATCGATTTTATGCCCATAAGGGATTTGTCAAATGAGAGTGATTATCATTATTCCCCAGTGAAACGTACTTTTAGGCATCGTAACCTATATTCAAGCAGTGTGCCATGTGTAGTCGGTGGCAAGGGTCGAGGCAGGTCACGATCCAAAACCACAGCTAGTGAGAGTGATAGCAATCATGAAGGCGAGTATGCTGGAATGGAGGAAGATGAGGTTGGTGGCATGGTGCCTGGACCTCGTAGTACAGTGGGTGGGCAGACAAAGGACCGCCCGGCACCCTCTCAACCATGTGCTGCCTCCACTCCCATCCCCCCCTCCTGCTCCCCCACGCTCCATGCCACAGGTCCACCCTGCACTACCTGATCGCAAATGGAAATGGACAGAAAGTACACCATTCATGCCACATCTTTTCAATTTTGATGCCAGTGGAAGTGGCATCATGCCACACTGTCCCATCACAAATGAGTCTACAGAGTTAGACTATTTTCAACTATACTTTGATGAACCGATAATGAACCTGATTGTTACCCAAACCAACATGTACTTCCGGTATACAATGGACCACATAGGTGTTTCAGAATCGTCAGGGCTGCGCAGGTGGAAAGATACAACTGTGGCTGAAATGTATTTATTCCTTGGCACAATTATGCTTATGCCACACACCTATAAGAACAATATAGCACACTACTGGTCCACAGACCACTTCATCAGTACTCCAGTCTTCCGTGACCTCCTCCCTTGCAACAGATTCACTCTGTTGCTAAAAATGTTGCACTTCTCAGAGAGGAATACTCCAAACCGAAATGACCTCCTATACAAAGTCAGGGAATTGTTTATGTATCTCAAGCAAAAATTCAGTGCCTACTTTTATCCATTCAAGAATATTATTGTTGATGAGTCCTTGATTCTGTTCAAGGGACGACTGTAATTCAAACAATATATACCAAGTAAACGTAATCGCTTTGGTATAAAACTCTTTGTAAAGTGTGACTGTGAGACTGGTCTTATGTTGGATGTACTCACCTAGTTCTCACCTAGTTGAGGTTGCAGGGGTCGAGTCCAAGCTCCTGGCCCCGCCTCTTCACTGGTCGCTACTAGGTCACTCTCACTGAACCGTGAGCTTTATCATACCTCTGCTTAAAGCTATGTATGGATCCTGCCTCCACTACATCGCTTCCCAAACTATTCCACTTCCTGACTACTCTGCGGCTGAAGAAATACTTCCTAACACCCCTGTGATTCATCTGTGTCTTCAACTTCCAACTGTGTCCCATTGTTGCTGTGTCCAATCTCTGGAACATCCTGTCTTTGTCCACCTTGTCAATTCCTCTCAGTATTTTGTATGTCGTTATCATGTCCCCCCATCTCTCCTGTCCTCCAGTGTCATCAGGTTGATTTCCCTTACCCTCTCCTCGTAGGGCATACCTCTTAGCTCTGGGACTAGTCTTGTTGCAAACCTTTGCACTTTCTCTAGTTTCTTTACGTGCTTGGCTAGGTGTGGGTTCCAGACTGGTGCCACATACTCCAATATGGGCCTAACATACACGGTGTACAGGGTCCTGAATGATTCCTTATTAAGATGTCGGAATGCTGTTCCGAGGTTTGCTAGGCACCCATATGCTGCAGCAGTTATTTCGTTGATGTGTGCTTCAGATGTGCCTGGTGTTATACTCTCCCCAAGATCTTTTTCCTTGAGTGAGGTTTGTAGTCTCTGGCCCCTAGACTGTATTCCGTCTGCAGTCTTGTTTGCCCTTCCCAATCTTCATGACTTTGCACTTTGTGGGGTTGAACTTCAGGAGCCAATTGCTGGACCAGGTCTGCAGCCTGTCCAGATCCCTTTGTAGTTCTGCCTGGTCTTCAATCGAATGAATTATTCTCAACTTCACGTCATCTGCAAACAGAGACACTTCGGAGTCTATTCCTTCCATCATGTCATTCACAAATACCAGAAACAGCATTGGTCCTAGGACTGACCCCTGTGGGACCTCGCTGGTCACAGGTGCCCACTCTGATACCTCGCCACATACCGTGACTCGCAGCTGTCTTCCTGACAAGTATTCCCTGATCCATTGTAGTGCCTTCCCTGTTATCCCTGCTTGGTCCTCCAGTTTTTGCACTTATCTCTTGTGTGGAACCATGTCAAACGCCTTTTTGCAGTCCAAGAAAATGCAATCCACCCACCCCTCTCTCTCGTCTTACTGCTGTCACCATATCGTAGAACTCCAGTAGGTTTGTGACACAGGATTTCCCGTCCCTGAAACAATGTTGGCTGCTGTTGATGAGATCATTCCTTTCTAGGTGTTCCACCACTCTTCTGATAATCTTCTCCATGACTTTGCATACATGTCAGTGACACTGGTCTGTAGTTGAGTGCTTCATGTCTGTCTCCTTTTTTAAAGATTGGGACTACATTTGCTGTCTTCCATGCCTCGGGCAATCTCCCTGTTTCGACAGATGTATTGAATATTGTTGTTAGGGGTACACATAGCGCCTCTGCTCCCTCTCTCAGGACCCATGGAGAGATGTTAACCGGCCCCATTGCCTTTGAGGTATCTAGCTCACTCAGAAGCCTCTTCACTTCTTCCTCGGTTGTGTGTACTGTGTCCAGCACATGGTGGTGTACCCCACCTCTCTGTCTTTCTGGAATCCCTTCTGTCTCCTCTGTGAACACTTCTTCGATTCTCTTGTTGAGTTCTTCACATACTTCACGGTCATTTCTTGTTGTCTCTCCTCCTTCCTTCCTTAGCCTACTACCTGGTCCTTGACTGTTGTTTTCCTCCTGATGTGGCTGTATAACAGCTTCGGGTCAGATTTGGCTTTCGCTGCTATGTCGTTTTCATATTGTTGTTGGGCCTCCCTTCTTACCTGTGCATATTCATTTCTGGGTCTACAACTGCTCTCCTTATTCTCCTGGGTCCTTTGCCTTCTATATTTCTTCCATTCCCTAGCACACTTGGTTTTTGCCTCCCTGCACCTTTGGGTGAACCATGGGCTCATCCTGGCTTTTTCATTATTCCTGTTACCCTTGGGTACAAACCTCTCCTCAGCCTCCTTGCACATGGTTGTTACATATTCCATCATTTCTTTAACTGGCTTCCCTGCCAGCTCTCTGTCCCACTGAACCCCGTTCAGGAAGTTCCTCATTCCCGTGTAGTTCCCTTTCTTGTAGTTTGGCTTCATTCGCCCGGGCCTTCCTGCTTCCCGCTTCATTATTTACACAGGGAAAAACACACTCGACAATACCAGGTGCATGTTGGGCATTTCTGGTGATGCTGTCCGCAAGATGATGCAGCCATACCTTGGCAAGGGTCATACCTTGTTCACAGACTAGTATACAAGCCCTATGCTCACTGATTTCCTACGTATGAACAATACTGATATATGTGGAACAGTGAGAAGTAGAAAACACATGCCAAGGTTCACTGGGGGAAGTGTAGTGCAAGTGTTTCATGCCAATGACATCATGGCACTGACGTGGCATGACAAACGGGACGTGACATTGCTGTCAACCATCCAGAGAAATGAGATGGTACAGACAGACAGACTGAGCAAGTACAACAATGAACCTGTTGTAAAGCCAGCTGCTGTCATCGACAATATGAACAATATGCGACTAGTCGACAAGTGTGACATGATGATAGGGTTTGTTGACTTGTGTGTGTGTAGGAGTCGCAAGTGGTATATAAAAGTGTTTTTCCACCTTGTAGATATTGCAATGCTCAATGCATTCAACATGTATGAAATAAAGACGGAAGCGACAATGATATGCGGAATTCACTCTGAATGTTATCAAGCAGACAGCGAAAAAGTATGGTACCACACCTATACCTGTCACTCCACAGCGACCTGTCACCCCAAAACAGCGACCTGTCACTCCACAAGAAGAGGGGGGAAGTGCCTAACCGAATAATCCCTAAGTGTCACTGCCTGATACCATTACCATCTACTCCAAAGAAGAAGTACTCTCAGAAAAAGTGTGTTGTGTGCTTACACTACACAGTGACCCCAAATGCAAAAAGACACACGATACATGTGTCAGCAATGTGGGGTGGCACTCTGTATGAACCCATGCTTCTTGGAGTATCATACAGTGGTGGACTTTTAGAAACATAAATGGGACCTGTAAATAACTTTATATATGTAAACAATAGTGTGTGATTGAACCAGGTGTACAAATTCATCTATCAGTGTGAATATATGTGTTTGTGACAGTTTGATTACTAATTCAGTACCAAATATTTGTGTCAACAAGAATTGGCAATGAAATAAAAATCTGCAACAAAACATTATTATCATAACATGAAAACAATAAAAAATAGAAAAGAATTTGAAAAAATGATAAATGTCTGTTTCTGCAAGCGGCAGTGCTCCATGTTGCTGACACCTCATCATTTAGCAAGAACTTTGTGGGCTTATATCTCGGTAAGTACTGGTCCTAAAAATTTTTTTCTCCTATAACATTTCTAAAAATGCGCTCTTCATTTAAAAAAAAAAAAAAAAAAATATTTTTCAAAATATTCGGAGCGCTGTGCAAGTAAACGTAGATTACGTTTGGACAGTTTAAGGGTTAACTAAACCAGATGAACCTCTCCTACAGCCAACCGATACAGTCAACAAACTTAATGTCTTTTTCTCTACCGTAGGAACAAAACTAGCAAGTAAAATCCCACGCTCAAACATTCAACCAAAAGACTACCTCACTGGCAACTACCCTAATACTCTATCTTTAGCCCCAACAAACTCTACTGAAAATCTCGCTTATCATCAAAACACTAAAGAACAAGACAGGAGACCTAAATAACTTACCACCACTCAGGTATAAAACAGCTTCTCATGTGTTGTCACCAATTATTGCAACTCTTTTTAACAAATCCATTGAATCTTCCACCTTCCCCATTCATACTCAAGACATCAAGAGTCACCCCGATCCTCAAAGGAAGTGATCCAACTGAACTGAACAATTATAGGCCTATATCAAACCTGCCCCTGCTATCTAAATTCTTCGAAAAATTAATACACAAACAAGTCTACTCCTACTTCGTATCCCACAACATACTCAACCCTTATCAGTTTGGGTTCAGACCGAAAAAAGTACTAATGATGCTATTATACGTATCCTTGAACTAATATACTCTGCACTCGAGAAAAATGAATTTCCGCTGGCGCTGTTCATAGACTTACAAAAAGCCTTCGATACAGTTGACCATGATCTTTTGCACCAAAAACTCAAACATTACGGGGTCAGAGGACACTCTCAATTACCTAAAATCTTATCTTAGCAATAGAACCCAGTATGTATACACATATGAAGCCTGTTCCACTACACAACCTGTTCTTGTTGGAGTCCCACAGGGAAGCATTCTTGGCCCACTTCTCTTTCTCATTTACATCAATGACTTACCAAATGCATATAATCTCCTTAAACCCATTTTATCTGCAGATGACACAACTTATGTCTTTTCTCACCCAAACCCAACCATACTAACAGACACAGTAAATGCTGAACTGCTAAAAATATCAACTTGGATGATTACCAACAAACTTACTCTCAATATAGACAAAACCTACTTCATGCTTTTCGGAAACAGAGCTTCAAATGTACAGCTAAACATATCAATAAATGGTTCACCTATCTCGAGACAGGCACAGGGCAAATTTCTAGGTCTCCACCTTGACTGCAGTCTCAAATTTCACACACACATACAGCAAATTTCCAAGAAAGTCTCCAAAATAGTAAGTATCCTTTCAAAGATATGGTACTATGTACCCCAATCAACTCTTCTTGATCTGTACCACTCTCTCATTTACCCTTACCTTACCTATGGTATTTGTGCATGGGGCTCAACCACAGCAAATCACCTTAAGCCTTTAATAACCCAGCAAAAAGCTGCAGTGCGATTGATTACTAACTCCTGCATTAGACAACACACTCCACCTCTTTTCAAGAGTCTTAACTTGCTAAATATACAAAACATCCACACTTACTATTGTGCCTACTACATACACAGAACACTATACTCTAATGTAAACCCTCCTCTCACTCCTCCTTGATAACTATAACAGAACACACAACCATAATATGAGAGACAGATCACTCTTCGATATCCCCCGTGTTCATCTCTCCCTATGCAAAAATGCTATGCACATCAAAGGCCCGAAGATCTGGAATTCACTGCCAGAACAAACTAAAGGACCCCTGTCTGCAAATCAGTTTAAATTACCTCATCACCCAAAATTAACCAGACAAACCATACCTAACTACTACCAGTTTCTCAAAAGCTACTCATATTGTGCTGATGAATGCTCAACCACTTACCACTTTGAAATTAGGATGTCTGTTTTTTTCATTGTTTTAAATAGTAGTAGAAAGTAATATACAGTACATCATAATGTAAATTGATCGATTGTAATACCAAATTTCATTGTTTTAAATAGTACTAAACTGTAATACAGTGGTCCCTCGTTTTTCGTAATTAATCCGTTCCTGGAGCCGTTACTATAAACGAAATTTACGATTTGCGAATCATTTTTCCCCATAAGAAATAATGTAAATACAATTAATCCGTTCCTGACACCCAGAAGTATTAAAACAAAAAAAATAATTTTCCATGAAATATACATATAGTACATAAACAATACAATGGGAAATGATGAATGAAACATTAACAGTATAACACTTACCTTTATTGGAGATTCTTCTTAGTGTATGGGAGACTGGAGGAGGAGAGAGATTGGATTGTTTACAGTTTGGAATGGGAATCCATTTCCATCAACACCTCAGGTACCAATTGCTTCTCTGGGGTTGCTTTTCTTCTCTGTTTCTTAATGCCACTAGGGCCACCTTGAGAGTCACTCTAGTCCTGTCTCACAAAGTAACTGTGGAGAGAGCTCTGTTTCTGGCGTCTCTTTAACACTTCCCGAAAATGGCCCAAGACTTTGTCACTGTACATATTTCTCACCTTCTTTACCACAGGCTTGGCACTAGGAGATTTCTTTGGAGCCATGGTAGCTTATTTAGTAATTGGAAGCACTAAAATGAGTGGAATATTATGAAATATTTCGTAGGAGCACTTGAGGGGACCTTCACTCACTGGTAAACAATGCCAGACTGGCTGGGTAGGGAGGCCGCCCCGGCTCACACCGTGCGTACGCGTCCCGGACGAACTACTATTCGCGAGTCAACCTATGAAAAGCGAGTCCATGTTTATATGAAAACACCCCTATGATTGGCGAAATTTACGATTGCCGAGAACTACGAAAAGCGAGGGACCACTGTACATCATATTGTAAATTGTTTTAAATTGTTACATTGTAATACTGTAATCTTTATTAACTAATTCAACAGTGTAAAAGTCTCTACTAGACTTATCAAAACCACGTAGCATCACCTGATATAATATTCAATTTTCCTGTACTCTAATTTATCTAATGACCATATGAACTATATATTATTGCCTTACTATTCTTAAGTTAATCTTTAACCCTTTCAGGGTTTCCGACGTACTAGTATGGCTTACGCACCAGGGTTATTGACGTACTAGTACGCCTAAATTCTAGCGCCTTCTAATCTAGCGAGAGAAAGCTGGTAGGGCTACATATGAAAGAATGGGTCTATGTGGTCAGTGTGCACAGTATAAAAGAAAATCCTGCAGCACAACAGTGCGTAATGAGAAAAAAAATTTGACTGTTTTTGGTTTAAAACAGCGACTTAACACTGTATTTTTGTATGGTATTTATGGTTGTATTCTAGTTTTCCCTGGTCTCATTTTATAGAATGGAAGACATATTACAGAAATTGAGATGATTTTGATTGCTTTCATAATGACAAGTACCTTAAAATTGAGCTCATAGTAGTAGAAATGTTCGATTTTTGCCAATGTTCAAAAGTAAACAAATAAT